ATGAAATATAAAGACTGTTAGAATCTACTGGAGTCATCAAATTCATAATGGCACAACAGAAAAAAAAAATCTCACCCATTGAGCTATAAACCATCTGATTTTCAAGCTGTTTTTTTTTTTTCCTTTGACCTCCATAATTTAATATCCTTTCAGAGCAGGGAAAGGTGTCATGGCTGATGCTGTCATACAAATAATGTTAAAGATTATGTCCAAGTGTATTTAAATTGTATATAGAGAGAATAGCAAAGAGTATTGATGTTCCAAACTGAGTTATAGTGTTCTCCATCTTTTTCAGCATTCTTTTAAGTTTTTTTTTAGGGACATCGTCTTCATACTCATCTCTGTGAACATTTTGATCCAACAATCTCATGTTGTTACTAATCTCTCCCTATATGTTTTCATGATAAAATGCTAAGGTGTATTTTCATCCACACTTAGTCAGTAGAGCTGCACTGGGATCAGTAGATCTACACTGCTCAGTTTTAGCAGATGGGCTGATATCTTTCAGATTCCAATTCAGCATTTGTTTACGAGTTCGTTTGTTCCACTCTGAGCCAGAGTTTGTTTTGCAGACACATAATGAATTTACTATTACCCATGTAATAGTGCCAAAACAATCTGCAGGACCAGACTACTGTGACATGGAGAATGTGGAGGAATTATTTGGTGTTCAGGATCAGTATGATCTCCTCACTTTGGGTTGGATCCATGTACGTATGACTCATAGATCCTGGCTTTTCTATGTCAGCTCTACATAGTATGTGAAGGAAACCTTGGCAATAACAAACTAAAACCAATAATGAATAATCTAAATTATTTGGCTGCCTTATTTCTAATTGTATTGATGTAAATAAGCACTAATATTCTCCACATCTGAGTATTTCTTAAGGAAGTTCAGGCCTCTTGTTAACACAATGGGCCTGCTTTTGCCATTGCAATTTTTTTTTTTAATTTGGGGGTATTTTATTACTTTCTAATGCCATTTATTTTTCTACTATATTCAAAATCTGGGGGAGAGTATTGTGTTGTTTAAAATTTAAGTTAATTTCACTCTTAGGGATTTTGAACAATCAGGTAATTTTCCTGTATCTTGTGCTTCTTCATTCCACCTTTTTCCCCATAATCAGAAAATGGCTTGTACATCTGATTGTGACTGTACCTCCATAAACCTTTTACTGAAAAGCCACTCTAGCAATTTAGAATCTAGGTTAACAAGAACTTAAGAAACCAGCCTGGAGAAGTACTGACCCTTTCATGTGTAATTCTATTGTTTCTTCTTAAATGTCTGTCGACCTTGAATTGTAAGAAATATTTCATGATGTTGAGTTTTCGCTTTCTTTTTCTAGACACATCCAACACAAACGGCATTCTTATCCAGTGTTGATCTTCATACTCATTGTTCTTATCAGCTAATGTTGCCAGAGGCCATTGCAATTGTTTGTTCACCCAAGCATAATGAGTGAGTTATTATTTTTTTAAAATATTTTTTTTAAGTGATATTTAGATATTTTCCCCTGCTCATTATCTTAAAATTTGATCAAAAGCAAACAGCACATCAGCTGGAATGTAAGGCAGGAATATTGTATTGTGAGTCTGTTTTCTTTAAGTTGTTTAACCTTACATTCCAGTCATACTATGCACACAGTACTGTTTCTGGCTTCTCTCCCAGTTCCACATTTTAAATTTTATCTATTTTTTACACTCTGCTCAACCAAGTAGTAATGACAGGAGCTGTTCTTCTAGAGACCTCATTGTCAGTGCCCTACCACAGACCTATCTCCATTCTGCCTGATAAAGGAAGTGGAGGGGTTAGACACATTTATCTAGGATTACATGAAAATTGTAGTTTGGAGAGTAGAGAGATAAAGATCACAATTTTAATAATAAGGTGCTGGGTTTGTATTTCATAAAATACAAACAGTAAGCATCTGGAAAAACCTGGAATTGTGTAACAATTAACATAAATATTTATAATGGAAGAGGTTGTGAAGTCTGCATCCTTGGAGGTATTCAGCACCTGACGGGATACTGTCCTTGGCAACCTGCTCAAGGTGACTATGCTGGAGCAGGACCATTGGACTAAACAATGTTGCCTCTTAAGTTGACCCTCTAGAGTTCAGGAGTGAAACGCACTCCCTAACACCTAAGCTGCTGCTTTTGTTCCTGCCTGAATCAGCCTCAGCCCCTAGTAGGCTAACCTGACTAATGGGAATAGCACCAGAACTGTGGGGTTTTTTTTCTCCTCTTCCCCTCCTCATCTCTTTCTCTACAGGAATACAGCTCCACTTGATTAGAAAGATCATTAAGAATCAAACCCAAGATTAGCTCCTGTGTGTCAGAAGTTATTGAGTGCCATCCTGTTGTTCTTCTGTTAAGCTGAGCAATATTAGTATGTTAAACCTTGGACTTGTATTATGGGAATGATATGTAACATCTGTTTCATCTTTTGCTTTTCAGCACTGGCATCTTCAGGCTTACTAATGCTGGCATGCTAGAAGTTTCTGCTTGTAAAAAGAAGGGATTCCACCCACATACAAAGGAGCCTAGGTTATTTAATGTAAGTATATAATCTGAGATTTTTTTTTGACTATCCAAATTCTTGCCCATGGTTCTGTTGCAAGCAGAAATTACATATGCTTCAGGTTAGGTTTCTTCATACTCCCTGCTCCCTGCATTTTAATAATCCATTACTGCTACTTCACTGACAAAGGTAGACATTGGACTCTCCTTAAGCAGTCAATAGCAGCCATGAGATGAGTGTTACACACTGCTATTAAAATGATGGCTAACCAGAGGCAGTTACCACCAGTCACCACTTCTACTTACTTTCAGAAGCAAAAGCCACAGTTTCAAGTAGGCATTTTTCCTCAGCTCTTGAGTTTGCTGAAAAAACACTCAGTTCATCTCCCCAGTACTGGTGTCCCAATAGAATAGCCCAGCTGCCAAAAAGTGCAGGTTGTTTGTTTTTGGGTTTTTTTATGAGCTTCATTGCCCATACTTTACCCCTAGCTTCTCACAAGCCTTTCTCAGTAACTACCTTATCATTTGATAGTAAGCAATATCCTCTTGAGAAATGTGTTTCTGATTGTACTTGTAGTGCTTTTTATATTCAGCAGGCTATATCTGTTCAGGTTTACCTCTGAACAGGCACAGCAATAGGTACAATTGAAGTTGGATAGAAAACCATAACATTAAGCAGGTTCAGAGAATTAAAAGGAAACAGTGGCCCTCGTTATTTTAACTGAAACTGATTTCTATGAGTAATTGGTTGATTTCTTCTGCAGCCATGTAACCATGTGGTTGGGAAAGACACAAAGATAATTGTGCTGGATCTGAGGTGATGCAGATGGATGATAGAGGTTACTATACAAACGGCCAAGAAAAAAATGGATTCCTCTTTTGCCTACATTTTCACAAATGACTTTAATATTTATACATTTCAGATTGAATGGTTTGATATTTATTGCTCTAGACTGTTTTGAAGTTATTTTGTTGCTCTGTCAAGATGGAGTTCAGTGGCATTATCCCCTAATCTGTAGACAAATCTCATCTATAAAACACAACAATAAAATGAACTTCAAACAACAGTAACTGTGTTGAAATATGCAGTGTGCTTTTTGTTACTTGTTGTCACTAAGTGTTTTCTGAGAATTAAAGATTTTTAGCAATAGTTGACATTTCATGACTTCCAGGTAGGTAAATCTGTATTTCCTGTAAATTTACATTATATGTAGTATATGCAAATACATCAATTTATCCCACCCCTCCCCCCCACCCCACCCCACCCCCCCACCCCCCTCCATCCTTTTCTAGCTGAACTTTGAGCTAAGTTATTAGGCAGAAAACACTTGGGAAAACTCTTTACCTGAAAGCTGACTTTCATCACATCTTGGTATAGCAGAGATGCATCAGAGTCCCTTGGGAAAGTGTGTCTTCTCCAGCAATGCATTTGTAGAAACTTTTATTTGAAATTAAATTCTTACCCTGAAAGATCCAGGAAAACTCAATCTGGAGTTAGATAAAAAGATCTAGATAGAGTTAGAAGGAAGAAACATACAACATTATTTGCTCTTACAAGAGTTTATTCAGCATCTGTTCCAGGAACCTAGTTGACTTATACTTTAAATAACAAAGTTAGTACAAAAATGTTGAACATGTTCCAACAGTCAGAAGCTGCACAAGATTTGGAACCCAGGGTTACATAGGCATGGTAAATAACAGGTGTTATTGCAAAGAGCTTACAGTTTGAAAGATAATGAATAACAGGCAGGTGAGGTAAACTATTGAGTTTTAACAGGGAACTAGGTAACAAAAATAAATAGCATCCTTTATCTTGAACTCAAATGAATATATATTGCAGCACGTTGCTCAGAGCTGACCTTTTGCAGGTCTGCCTCAGTGGATTCTTTATTCATATATATACTTTTCAGACAGTATTACTGGCATTAGCTTCTATGCATATACTTCTAGATGAAAATCAGTTTTGATGTATTTAAGACTATAAGTGAAATGAGAAAAATCAAAGAAAATTGTCTAAATAATAATTAAAAAAAAGACAGAATATTGTAGTATGCCTCATACATCTGGGCCACACGCTGTAAAAAAATTAGCTTTTCTAGCATGAAAGCTGTGAATTAAGAAGTGACGTGGCTAGATAGTGTTTCTGGATAGAGCAGATGCCGAGTGCACATGCTCATCCTGGTATCAAATACATCTCATGTTTCTTTGGTACTGCCCTGCACTTTGGAAACAAAATCAAGACTGGGTCTGTTTGCAGACTGAAATGTTCACTGAGGCTAAACTTTGGCAACCTGCAGCCTGGTAGCTGAGCATTTTCTAGCATTGGTGTCTTTGAGCAAAAGGCACCACGTCTATCAAGCCAAGGATGGTGTAGTAACAAATCCGTGTCACAAGATGGCGCATCAAACCAGCTGTGAAGGGGCCTCCACGGATGTTTAGAGAGTTCTGGGTTGTTTGTTTTTTTTTTAAGTTGGAGTAATTCTCCAATTAATTAGAGTAATTACGATGAAGGATTTATGGAATGAAATTGTAAGAATGTATTTTCCTGAACGCATTCACAGTGATACACTAAGGAGAAAAAGATAAGGCAATTTAAAAGCATTTGCGGTGAACGATGGATGGGCCAGCTTCATCATATTCCTGCTTGCTGATCCACATCTGCTGGAAAGTAGACAGGGAAGCAAGGATGGAGCCTCCAATCCAGACGGAGTACTTACGTTCAGGAGGAGCAATGATCTGTGTAAGAAATAAAAGCATTAAATACAACTATCCACTACAAATAAGTTTTTAATACAAACTTTGTATAAAGGTTTTTTATACAATATTTTATATTAATATAAATATACAATATTTTATATTAACAAAAGCACTGTACCTAGGTGCTAGTGTCATCCCTGTCACTACAGTAAGTCATTGCTGCAAGCAGGAAATGTTAAATGTTCTCATTTAAGTCCGAGTCTGCATATGAGTGAAGGGGAGATCATAGAATCATAGAACTGTCCAGGTTGGAAAAGACCCTTGGGATCACTGAGTCCAACCATCATCCCTACTCTACAAACTTCCCTGCTAAACCATATCCACCAACACATATCCACATCCAAACAACCCCTAAACACCTCCAGGGATGGTGACTCCACCACCTCCCTGGGCAGCCTATTCTAGTGTCTAATCACTCTTTCTGTGATTTTTTTTCCCCTAACATCCAGTCTAAACCCACTCTGTTGCAGCTTGAAGCCATTCCCTCTTGTTCTATCACTAATTACCTGTGAAAAGAGACCAGCACCAACATCTCCACAATGACCTTTCAAGTAGTTGTGGACACTGATGAGGTCTCCTCTCAGCCTCATCTTCCTCAAACTAAACATTCACCGCTCCTTCAAGTGTTCTTCATAAGACTTATTCTCTAGGCCCTTCACCAGCTTCGTTGCCCTTCACCAGCTTCGTTGCCCTCCTCTGTACTCACTCCAGCACCTCGATATCTCTCTTGAATTGAGGTGCCCAAAACTGGACACAATAATCCAGGTGTGGTGTCACCAGTGCTGAGTACAGAGGGACAATCACCTCTCTACTTCTGCTGGTCACACTATGTCTAATACAAGCCAGGATGCCATTGGCTTTCTTGGTCACCTGGGCACACTGCTGGCTCATATTCAGCCTCCTGTCAATTAGACCCTCTAGGTCCTTTTCTGCCAGACAGCTTTCCAGCCACAATTCCCCAACCTCTCTACTTGTTTCTCCAAGGATAAAAAAACTCAATCATCCCATGATCACTGTGCCCTAGGTGGCCTCTCCAACTTTTACTTGCCCCACAAGATCTTCCCCATTCACAAGAAGCAGGTCCAGGAGGGCACCCTCCCTGGTCAGCTCACTTATCAGCTGTGTGAGGAAGTTCTCTTCCACACGTTCCAGGAACCCCTTGGAATGTTCTGTCTCTGCTGTGTTGTATTCCCAGCAGATGTCTGGGAGGTTAAAATCCCCCAGAAGAACAACAGCATTTGACTAGGAGATTTCTCCCAACTGCTTATAGAAAGCTTCATCCAGGTTGGAAGGTCTATAGCAGACTCCCACAGTGACATCAGCTTTATTGGCCCTTAACCTAATCCAAAGACTCTCAACCTCATCATGATTATACTTGATTTCCAAACTCTCACAGCATTCTCTAACGTACAGGGCCACACCACCCCCTCTCCTTCCAGAGATACTTGCTCTGGAATCATACAATAATAGCCCAAGAGGGCTTGGAAAAATGAGTGACCTGTGGGGCACTCTTATTGGTGTAATTGATAAAAGCAAGGAATTGGAGGCTTGTCAGAGGCTCTTTCTTTTGTGAACTTGTAGGTCAAGAACAAAAACAGTATTTCCACTCTCCTATCTCTATCAGCCAAAAAGGGCTCATGCACAGCACCAGAGGAAAAGATATGCTTCTGGGTTCACACTATTCTCCTTTGGCCATGTTACGGCAGTTGGCAGAATCTACCATGAACAAGGAAATGAGAACAACAGCAACAAAGTTACCAGGTGGTGACTATTTGCTACAAGGTACAGACCTGATTCAAAATATGTACAGAGCACTTACTTTGTCAAGTGTTGCTAAGTTTCATTAGATTCTTAAGGACTTCCTACATGCCAACTCAAATAGTCTACAAATGAGCATGCCTTACCTTGATCTTCATAGTGCTGGGAGCCAGAGCAGTTATTTCCTTCTGCATCCTGTCTGCAATACCCGGGTACATTGTAGTGCCTCCAGACAGCACATTGTTGGCATAAAGATCCTTTCTGATGTCTATGTCGCACTTCATGATGCTGTTGTAAGTGGTTTCGTGAATGCCAGCAGACTCCATGCCTGGGGAAGTTACAGAGGCTCACTGATGAAGCAGCTCCATATAGAGACATTAAATTGTTACCACAGAACTGACAACAGGAACTTTTGGAAGACATCAGTCTTCAGAGTTGTGGAAATCTGGAAAGTCATTCTGCAGCTGCCTAAATTATTTGCTTTGGAGTTCATTGGTGTACAGCCCTCCCCTCCACCTTACACATACAACTTGTCCTTAAAAAGAAGCTGGGGGTGTGGAATAGTAAAGTTTCCACTAGACTTTTGCAGGCAGTCTCAAATGTCCTAAGAATTCCTTATATGGTCTTGAAATCACTTGGTTTTGGCTTTGTTTTTTTTCCTCCCCTTTTTTTTTTTTCTTTTTAAATTGAGCCAGCTTGGAGACAGAACAGTCAAAATATGTCCTAATCCCCCTAAGTATGCAACCCCTTCATCTATGTCTGAGCTGAATTTCCGCCAATTGGCAGAACTGATACTGGATTTCTGTGTGACCTCACTGCAAGCCTTCCTCCATGGCTGTTGATTAGCCTGGCATTGTGTTGGCTTTGCTCTGCAAATGTGATGAACCATAGATTCAGGATTTGGAGCAGTCTTTTGGAAAAATAAAAAAGTAGTGCTCCCTGCAAGCACATTCAAATTCCAATCCTCACACTATTTAGAGAAATGGCTTTGTGGTGTTAGTTCTCACAGTAGCCAACTGCACATCTTACAAAATGGCATGGGCTCAATGCCAGAAGTTAGGAATAAACATTTGGGTTTATTTTGGGAAAGCGTTTCAGATTATTGTTTGGCATGAAGTTCCTCCCACCGTATGAATACTGCTGTTCTAAAAGATTATTTTATAATGGGTGCTAAGACATACTCGTTTACATCTAAGTGAGCTGGCAATGGGATGCAACTAAAAGAAAACAGGGACTTGAGATTTATGTGCAAGTTACCACCAAGACAGAACAATCATTCAACCTACCAATGAAAGATGGCTGGAAGAGAGTCTCTGGGCAGCGGAAGCGTTCATTTCCAATGGTGATCACCTGACCATCAGGAAGCTCATAGCTTTTTTCCAGAGAGGAGGAAGAGGCAGCAGTGGCCATCTCATTTTCAAAGTCCAGGGCCACATAACACAGCTTCTCCTTGATGTCACGGACGATTTCACGCTCCGCTGTCAAGAAGATTCAGTCTTTAGAACAGTGTTCAGGAAGAATCCAGCCATGTTGGCAGGTTACTCCCTTTCATTCTCCAACACCTCCCCCC